CTACATATTTGAGTTAATTTTTCTTACTCGTTTTTAAAGAAATGGTTGCATCCACGAATTCTTAGCATTAATATGTAAGTGTCTTGTGTCAGTGGACATTTAAAGCTATTGTAAGTGATGCAAGAGGCGGAGGTCATAGTTCGTCATGGTTTTTACTAATTGGGTTTAATTGTCTGAATGTATTTTAATGTAATCCTTACATCCATAAGTTTTTAGCAACTAGAAATAGAAGCTTTTTTTGTAATGGGCAAATAAAGGTTATTATAAGTGATGCAAGAAGATGGAGGGCATAGGGTGTCATGGTTTCTCACTATTTGGCTTTATTTATTTTTTTTTGTTTGAAAGCAAAAATGCCAGCATCCATCCACTTAAAGAGAAAGTATTTTGTTCTAGCGTTCATATAAAGTATCACAATGGAAAACGGTAGATGTCATGGGGTGTCATGTTTCTACTTGTTAGGTTAGATTTACCGTGATGATTTTTATGGTAATCTTTTTGTCCCTAAGTTATTATATACATAATGTGAGAGTTTTTGTTTTAGCAGTACATCTAAAAGCTATTATACGTTACGGAAAAGTGGTGAGATCTTAGGGTATCTTGGTTTCTACCTATTTAACATGATTTACGTTAATGATTTTCAATGTAATAATTACATCCATCAGTTCTTAATAATTTCAAACTATAAGCTTTTGTTTTAGTGGACATTTAAAGTTCTTGTAAATGATACAAGTATGAAGAGGTCATAGAGTGTCACGCTTTGACATGCTAATTGGGTTTGTGTATCTCAATGTTTTTAAATTAACCCTTCCATTCATAAGTTATGGAAACATGAAATAGAGATTTTTCTTTTTATGGTGATGTACACCTTGTAAGTGATATAAGAAGTTTGAGGTGTCAATGGTTTGAAAGCCACAAGCATAAAAGAATAACTTGAAATAGATGTCTAAAAGTTGTACAAGTTTGTAATAATTGATAAAATTATGTACAGTTTAAAATATCATATCACACTATCACGTTTGATAAATAAAACAACAGGATAATATTTAAAAAGTTGCAGATGGATTTGAGATTAATCTTTGTGATTCTTCTAGGAGGAAGAGTGGGTTGGTGTTGAGAAGAATTCCGATTGGATTTGGGACTGGAGCAGCCGTCCGGACCAATTTCCACCAAAGTAATTTATACAGATTTTACTTTTTTTTAACCTTGATTTTGTTGTAATTTTTATTTCCGCCCCCATTCAGGGATTGGAAACTGAGGCATCCGGCTCGGAAAACTCTCTCAATACGCACGACCAAAGTCGGAAAGGTCGGCCTCTTCTCAAGAGAAATGATGTATACTATTTTGATAACTAATGTCTTGTCTCTGATCCTTGGCACCGGAATGGGGTATGTCCTTATTATAAACACCTTATTTAACTTGTTTTATTTTATTTAAACTGTTCTTCTGTTAGTGTCTGGCTCAGTCGACGTGGATGCATGATGTCAACCATAAAACTCGACTAGAAAAAGGGAGATATTTGGTTTTCCATGTAACATTGTTGCAAGCGTAAAGCATTATTTTTTCAATCTTAAATGCATATCCTTTGAAAATAGTACACTGAGGAAATTTTAGTCCCCTTTCTAAAAAAAAAGTTTCTGGCTTTTTCCCTCTGTTTTACATCATACAAATTAATGTCGCTCTACCTTTTAAATAAAATTAATGGTTTATTTGATAAAGAATTATTATTATTAAAAAACCAATATAATTTTTATGTGTTAACAAATTTTTTTAAATAAATTTTATCCCATTGTTTTTAGACTACTTTTTCATTTTGTTAAGTTAAAAATAAGAATTGCATTTTATAATTTCTGTTATTGCTTCATTGGGAAACAAATACCATACTTTATTAATAAAATTAATATTTATATGATGAAAATATTTATGTAGTATAGTAGGTTTATGTTTCTTCTTGATCATTTATAAATTTTAAGCATCTATATACGTACGTATATATAGAGGTCGTTTGAATGGTATTTCTTCAGTAAGACTGAATTGTTGCCGAAGCACAAGAGAATGGATAATATATATAATATATAATATATTAACCGTAGTTTTTACATATTTGTATCTCTTATGTAACTATTAGAACAGATCAAAAGTGAATAATCTTTAAGCAAATAGAAGAATAATAAGTAATAAGAAATATTTTTACTTAGCGAATTTTATAAATAAAAATTGCACTGTTTTTATGTGATTATAATAGACATTTTAATAAATATTTAAGAGATATTAAAATGATAAGGCAAGAAAAAGAAAAGATAAAATAGGCTATTTGGTTTTGTACAGTTTGTATACTAAAAAGAAATTTGTATTCATTTGGTTAAAATAAATGTGTAAAATGCTGTCCACTTGTTTATTTACCCACTTTTTTTAAATATTATATAATAACTTGGTATCACCTATTTAAAAAATGTAACTCTTATCACAAATGATTTTCGGATGTAGCAATTACCATTAATAAATAAATAAAAAACCTATCTGGCCAAATAGGCGGAATAAAGATCTCAAAACCCTTTCTTTGTATACATAAATCTTTATATTTATTTTTTAATAATTGTAACCAACGGATGTAAGTGTAACCGTAATAACTATTGTGGTAAATTGAACCCAATTAGCGGAAACCATGGCAGAATATGATTCCCACCTTTTACATTACTACAGTACCTTCAAATGTTCACTTAAATAAAAAATTTCCGTCAAGTTGCTATATACTGTTGGTTGTAAATATTAAATTTTTAAAAATCGGGCTAAATCAAACTCAAATTATTGAAACCGTGGCATCGTATAATCTCCTCCTTCTTCCATAGCTTACAATAGTTTTATTTGACCATTAAGACAAAAAAACATCCAATTCAAGTTGCTATGAACTGATGGATGTAAACATTAAATTTAAAAAATCAAGCAAAATCAAACGCAAATAGTAGAAACCATGGCATCCCATGACCCGTAGTGGCCCGTAGAAACAGGGAACGAGCCATTCATTGGGAGAGCCCGAAGCGGCGGCATAGGAGTCACAGACGGACTGACCGACCTACTTAGAGGTGGAAATCCCGGCCCCTCGTGGCGTGATTGGGTGAGGCGGGGTTGAACTGTTGAAGCCCACTTCCCTACGAGGGTACCAAGAGAAGTGTTTTCGACCTTCCTTCACCTCAGACGCCGTCTATATACCCAGCGTTCATCGTGCCGACATCTCCACCATTATTTCAACCTCCTTTCGCGTCGTCGCTGAGAGAAACAACCATGCCATGCAGGAAAAGCCTGAAAAGCTGTGCGTAAACACCGGTGATCCGTATTTGGGTTTTTCGAGTTACTCACGAAGATATGAAAACTCCAAGAGATAGTGCCGGTCCTCAAGCAGGTTCTGTTTCAGATAGGGGAAGGAAGGGAAGGAAGATCCATCGAGGGATAGCAGGAAGCCCGTACCTCAGCTGAGAGACTCTTCGCTGATGATAGAAAAAAATTACCGCGTGTAGTCGGAGAACGACGGTTCAGAGACTACGTCGATGGGCTGGTGAGAGCTAAGTACGTGCTGGAGTGCATCTCCTCCGCGGATGTGATCGAGCTCGCCGTGACACAAACCAACGCCTTCACAAATCTTGTTTTTGTTTCCCGTCAGGCGAGTCCCCGTGGGATTTGGAGGAACTGTACGAGCTCGTGGTGTGGTGCCAACATCTAGTTACCGCTACATGCCACTACCGCTTACAGCATTAGCCTTATTCCCGCTTTCTCAACGCAGCCGACTCAGCTAAAAACACCAATTGCTGCACTTGAGTCTCTTCAGCCACTGCGGAGTCAACCGACTCACGACCCCGGGACCTCAGCCAACGGTTCATTCGGTCACAGACCACCACCAACGGCACACGCACACGGTCCCAGCCTCGATCCATCGTCTCGACGTTACGAAATAACACCGGCACTTTTCAGGGCCACAAAAATTCCCAGTCACTAAATCGTGCATGGAGGGCCGAAAGAGCCTCGATGACCCGCCATAGAAATACATCCTACCGGCCGACGGACGAACTCTGGGAATATATTCGGCGAAGAACCCAGAGGAGGATGATTATCACCAGCCGACAGAATCCCCGAGATATTAAATTAGGAACGAGTGAGGTGAAATGACATCAATGGCCCCATTGCACACGAAGAAGACCAGAAAATTAGAGATGGCAAAATGCGGGGCCAATGGCATCCTTGCAACCGTGGTAAGGACAGAGGGAGGAGGCAAACGCTCCCAAACGTATTAGCCGACCACCTAGGAACCCCGGTAACTACCGAGTTCACGCCCTCCACGCCTCTGAAGAAAAGGGATTAGGTACGGAGAACTGTCCTTCGGAGTCCCACAGCCCCAGGAGAGGGCCCCGCGGACGACATAACCGCCGGCGAAGGTCTAATGAGTCACGGTTCATGCCTCCCAAAGGAAACAAGAAGGGTGAGGCCAACAGATCTGGCTGTCAAAACGAGGAGGTCTAGACGAACCGAGGTGCAAGCTTGCATAAGTGCCGATCGGTTCCATTCAACTCGGGGGCCCAAAAAACGAGCCGGATGGAGGTGGTCAGTCAGGCCTTTGCCCCTTAGCATCCAAGGAAATTAAGATCGGAGACTCGCGCACCCCGGAGTGAAATAGAGGCGCAAATAAAGGGATACAAATTCTGCGTATTCATAACTAAACATTTTAGTTTGTTATTTTTCAAAATCACTTAATTAAATTTTCCTTCAGTAAAAAACATAATTTCTAAAAAATTTACTGCAATTTATAATAAAAATGCTAGGGAAAGTAAATACTACAAAATTGGCAATATTCGTTTTAGAGCAGCTTATTTGGACTACAACACAAATAAAGACAAACTAGGAAAAGGCCAAAGGACGTTAGATGACAGCAAGAAAGGGCCGATCAATTAAAATTTAATAAAAGGAAAACAATTGATAGAATAATGTTTAAAAAAAATTAGAGAAAGGATTACCTTTTTTTGCCGTTTCTCTCTGTGATGAAGTCTACCTTCCTCTTATCCTCATGATTTTCCTTTTAAAATCACCTTTTTCCTAGTAAAACCGGCACCGGCGGCTCGGCAGTAGCCGCTAGCCAGACGGTAACCTCCCCACTCTAGAGTCCAGTAAAGGCGGGACGCCTACCAACGTCCAACACTAGCGTTGAAGGCAGCGTCACGACGGCCTAGTACACCGAATTGCTCATGTTCTATCCTTATCCAGGAAAAAAAATATGTACAAGGTTGCTACAAATTTTTACATAATGATTCGGGTAGATTAAGCCTTGGTACTGAACATACTCGGGTTTCCTTGATTTTCCTCCTTTGCAGATATATGGGGCGGTGTTCCGGTCTCGGTCAGGACAGTCAACGGATCCTGGCGCCAGGTCCATGCCAGCCTGCGGAACTTCCGCTACGGGACTGACGCTCCCATCTACCACTCCAGAAGAGCCGGTTGATGCCACGATTCCCACTCGCTTGAGGAAATCCATCTCTGTGAAGGAGCCTTACACGCACCCTTTTGCGGTTCGGATTGCTGGGGGATGTTTCGTACCGAAACTCGAAAGGGGAGAGAATCTGTGATTACCCAGAAGAGCCGCTACATCTCGTCTCCGCCGATCCCTTGTGCGTGTCTTCTCCCGGCCGGTTCGACCAATGGAAAGCCGAGCCCTCGGGAGTGGGAGTTAATGGACATAGGACTGGGAAGAAGGACGGTGCGCCATTTTCTCTCTTGATTTTGACTTTTTTGGTTAAAGTGCTAAATAGCGGAAGACGCCGGTTGTTTTTTTGGACGAATCGACGGAAGGACCCGGAGAGACGAGGAGACCGACCCGACAAGCCTCAGAAAGGTAGGAAATCCTTTTTTCTCTCATCCTACATAGGTAGCCTGTACTTATAATTATTACTAACCTAATACAATTGTAATAATCTTTTCCTTGACGACCTTCCATCCGTTGTTGAGTGTGGTATGATAATAGGCAACGTTACAATAAAATATTCTTTTTATCTAAGGTTTTTAGTTGAGATGAAAAATTAGTGTCATGAGCAGGATTCGAAACCACAACCATTGGCTCAATACGCTCTTACCTCTTGAGCTATCGGGATTTCGATTTTCATATCAACCAAAAACCTTAGGTAAAAGAAAATTAATATGGTCAATTATGACCACCAAGCAACTATGGTTTAATTTAATAATTAAAAAAGAAGTAATTACTTCACTAATAGCTCCTCATAGCCTCTTCATAAGTTGCTGAGAATCTATCCTGATTATACAACTTTTGAAAATATGGAAAGAGGAAAAATTCGAATGGTTGTAGGTTGAGGTGAGGAATTGGTGGTACAAGCAGCGGCAAATTGAGCCAAAGGTTGTGGGTTCAAAAACTGGTCAATTATGACCATTAAGAAAATATGGATACAACAAAAGTTCTACTTTACACAGACGACAGTTGTAATGGCTGACTCCATTGCATGGCCTACAAAAGAATATAAAGCTACATATTTGAAGCTTTTTGCGACCAATTTAACATTGAACTTCAAAAAAGTCTAAGGTTATGGTGTTCGGAAGAGGTGGTAGATTTAAGTCTTCGGACCGTTGGTGTCATAGAAGTTGTTAATGAATATAAATGGTGTTCTCCCCATCCCCTGATTGCATTGGGCGAATCGTTTAAAGAAAAAACCATGTTTTCAATCAATACGTGGCTCTTTTTAGTTACTCAAAAGGTCATTCCATTAAAAGTGAAGTATCAAGTATTGCATTCACTCTACGATGGCCAAGTAGGGGCTATCAACAATTTGATACGATAAAAAAAGTTCTTAAATATTTTATCTATAAATGATTTGCATTACCAATTCCAATGCCAAAATACACGATTTACTTACTCACTAATTATATGAGAATTACTCACAAAACTGTGAAACATTTTGCAATGTAGAGGTGAAACAAGGTGAGCCATTACTTGTGCGAGATGCGTGCCGTTTATAACTATATTAGAAAAAAAAATGAAGTTGCGTTGAGTTTTATTGTTTTATTTGATTTATTATGAATATTTTCTTAGCATCCTCAAAAATTGGTAGCTGTGATACATTCGGATAAATCAAATGCATTCCTCCTAGTTCATGCTTATACGCGAGACAAGTGCATTCAAACAAACAATGCAACAACACTTTGAATCACACTAAAAAACTGACAGCCGGTCAGCTCAAAAGTTTTGCAGCCCCAGCTTGGTTTCCAGAATGTGAGATCAGTTTCATGATTTACACAGTGTAACCCAGCTTTCAGATTCTAGGCTAGGAAAAATAACATTACAAATTATATGGTCCAAGACTTCCTGGTGTGCACAATGGCTATATATATGTAGATGTAATTTCAGGGTATAGTATACTGCGCCCTTTAAGAGCTATTGTATCCCCCATGCTCTGCCTAAAGCACATCGTTGAGTCCTATTTCATCAAGAAACTTGATTAATAGGCGGCCCGGTTTCATTGGTTGAAGCTCCTCTAGGGTCACAATATACATCCCAAAACATTTCCTCCTGCAGGCTAGTGTAGCTCCGCAGTTTGTTAGTAAATGTGTTGGTGTCTCTTCTGCCTCTTTGCAGAATCTGCATGTGCCATCTTGGATTGTTCCAATTTTCTTTAAGTGTCCATTTAATTTGCAGTCCTGTTAGGATTCGCAGTCTGTTCCTGCTTCCTTTGACACATTCTGTAATTTCTTTCCTACCAAAATTGGTTAGAAGATTCTTGGATTGTCTATGTCTAATGAGTGAATTCCAGTTCCCTCATTATCTTTTTGTCCTTCTGTCTGAGAGATTTGTTAATAGTGTGGATTCCCATGTCACAGAAGGGTTCAGGTCCTTTCAGCGGTGTAGCAGCCCCTTTCCTTGCAAGGGTGCCTTCTGCTCCCATGTGTCCTGGGACCCAGCAGAGGCTGACTTTATTCTGCATACCTAATATATTTAGTTTGGTTTTGCAGTTCAGCACCATCCTTGAACTAATGATATTTGAACTTAATGCTTTGATGGCTGCTTGGCTATCTGACATGATAGCTATATTCTTGTTTTTGTACCCTTTACTTAGGTTGAATTGGGTACATCTTTTGATTGCATGAATCTACGTTTGGAAGAAACTGGTGTATTTTCCCATGGGTTCTGAGTATTTGTTTCCAGGTCCAAATACTCCTGCCCCTGTACCTTCTTGTGTTCTAGATCCATCTGTGTTCCAAATTCTTTTTTGGTACCCAAGTTTATTCGAAAGTTTTGGTTAAATTCAAACATCCTGTTCATGTCGTCTCTTGGAGACATGAGTATCGGATGGTCTGCACAATGGCTATATCTATACCATAAGTACCTAATTATCCCAACCTTGAAAATTGGCCAGACCTCTTTTCAGCTTTGTTATCTGCAATAAAAGAGCAGCATTGAACTAATGCTTGCGTGCTCAGTCCTCAATTAATTTCGTTGGTCTATCTGAGTTGCGTTGTCTTTTAAAATTTCGTTGCAAGGTTCTCCATTTGAACTCCTCCATTTGCTCTTTGGATTAGAGGGAGGGATGCGATCTGTTCTCTGCAATTCGCTGTCAATTGAAACAGTTCTTCATTTCCTAGCAGTTTGATTTTAGGACAGATTCTTCTATTACGCCTCGGGTCATTCACTCTCTCAAGAGGCCAAATCATTGAGCTGTTGAATGGTTCTCATACAGTACGCTTACCTCGCTTGGAAGTATAGATTTCATTTAGTCCAGGAACTTTTCGGATACACCTGTATATATCACCACAGCTTTCCTTTCAAAACTAACGAGATAAATTAAGCCACATAGGTACTAATCATGACATAAATCTCCTTTTTCCACCACTTACAATAGCTTTTACCATAACCACTAAACAAATGCCTACATATCATACCACTAATCATTAACGGACCGTTATTACTAAAAAATCATCAAAAGAAATCAAACGAAATCCTTCCTCTTAGAATAACTTTATATGAACCAATACAAAGGCACACATATCATGCTGCCATAACTTTCGGATGTAAGCATCACCATAAAAATCATCTTGATGATTCAAACCAAACAAATAGAAACCATTTGCCCCATGACTTCAACCTCTTCCCTCACTGAACTTTGTGCAGTAAAGCAAAGCCAACAAATCAACACACCAATTTATGGATGTAGGAATTACTATAAAAATCATTGTAATAAAACAAACCAAATAGGTAAAAACCATGATGACCTATTTCATCCCTTATAAATAGCTCAACACGAACCAGTAAAATGTAAATAGGTTAAAAGTATATGTTTATGCATTCCATCTAAAATTAAGATTAAATATAAAAGCAAATCGGTTATATTTCATTTTTATTTACATATATATATACAAAAAAAATCGTAGGTACATCAATTTATGCATTTAAAAAACAAAAATTATAAGAATTGTGCCATAGGGTCTTCATCGCGTCGTTTTTTCATGTAGTACGCCTCCATTTCAATGTCGGTTGGCTTGCTGACTTCGACCATGCTGTTGTAGCTTCTCTTTCTATCATCGATCTTCTGCAGTCGTTCTCCCTCTTTTTGCGCTTCCTCTTCTTTCCGCAGGGCCTCTGCGAGCTTCTCTTCCTCTGTTAGTTCGGCCTTCTTCTTATTCTTCTTCTTCACCGGCTTTTCCTTCTTAGCCTTCTGTTTGGACGGCTTCTTCTTTTTCTGCCTCTCTTCCTCATCACTCGAAGACGAAGACGAAGATGAGTCGTCAGATGAAGGCTCGGACGAACTGGATGATTCTTGTTCCTCGGTAGACAGATTTGCGGGTATTATGAATGGCCCTTTGACATGTGTGCCTTCCATACGAGATGCAATTCTTCCTGCTTCGCCAGTACAATATGAACCCTTCAAAGTTATAATTATAAGTATAGAATGAAAATTTCCAAATATTCTTATTAAATAGACTTACTTTAATAAATGAATGACAACATCTATAACCCCAGCGTCCGTTATACCAATAAGAACCCCAGACTGATGTATGGTTATTTATAAAAACATCCTCCTCATATTTTGATCTCACAATTGCTTTTTCTTGCCCCTGAAAACTTTTTGTTAAAACTAAACCTACAATTGAATGCAAATATTTACAAAAAACTGCAAATCACCTTAATAATTGTCCCGTGCCTTGTGTACTCCGCGTAATATTCAGTCTGTGCGAGGAGAAGCTCCTTAGGAGGGCCGCTCAAGTGTTCTTCTCCACCATATCTTTAAAATAGCATGAAATATTAACAAAATTCTACATTTGATTAAATACAAATACTTACTTTTCTAGAATATCAAGCTGTCCTTTCTTTTTAAATTCATCTTTCTTTTCGTCGTACTGCTTTCTAAGGATTTCAAGCTTTGTAGGTTCACCAAGAGGATGCACTTCGACTCCCTTTTCATGAGCTTCCCAGGCAAAGAGCTGCGTCTTTGCATGGTCCATTGTATCACCTGTGTAACGTACAAAATTCTCCCCAGCATAATCAGCACTATAAAATAAACGTTTGTTTAGCAAAATAAAACATTTGACAAGGAATATACATTCAACAAACACTAACTCCATTTCTGCTTTATCAGCGTATGGATTGTCCCTCATAGAACGAGTCTTGGGATCGTAGTACGCCGAATTTGGATCAAGGTTTCGCAAATATTTAGCAGTGTCTTCTCTTATCCTGAGGTTTCTAACTGTGATTCTCTGTTTGCTGTCAACTTTAGTACCAGGCATATCTACCTCATCTACGTATTTATCATCATCAGCATCTTCGTTATCTTTAGCATCGTCTTCATCTTCTGGCTAAGCACAAAACAAAATATAAAGAAAAATCAATACAAAAAATTATTTGATTAAAATACCTGTTCCTCCCCTTCGGGTGCGGTTTTAAGCTTTTCGGCCCGCAATTGCCTTTTGGCCTCATCTACTTTGGCATAATGCTCAACAACGGCTCTGTGCTGAGACGGGTCATAGCCAGCCCATCGGTCGCGCTTTCCATCATAATCCCTGTCCAAGACTGGCTGCATAAATTCATCGGGAGCGATTTTAGCACCGGAATACTTGGCACCAATCTTCCTTGGTCGTTCTAGGCAATCTTTCTTCTTGTGAGTCATCGCCCCACAGTTCTCGCAAGCACCTTTTCTGTATTTGGTTGCGACTTTTGTCTAAAAGCAAAAAAAAATTGTTAAGACAAAATAAAATTTAAATCTTTTATTTGTTACTTACGCTGTCAACACCTCGGTTGTACCATTCATCTATTCCAGAGAACTGTTTTACGCTCTCTTCTTGGATACGTTGATGCTTGAGTGTAGGCCCTTTTGTGTTGTAGTACCATGGCGCTGAAGATATATACTGGGGTATGTGAGGATTTATATCCTTCCCTTCTTCATCTACTGCTGCTGGAGCTGTTCCAGCCTGCAAAAAGCAATTTTTTTTATACATATAAACAGAAATTCATCAGAATTTATACTGAACTTAATTTAATTTCTGAACACTATACTCTGCTCAACAGTATCAACAAAAAAGTAGGGTCATAACATACCAAAAAGCATTAAATTAAAACTAAGACTGAAAATCGTGCATTGACAGTCAGAATATTGGTGAAGTGCACAAATTAAACATGTCAACATTGCCATAATATGTTTCTGTTCATCTTTCTTCTCCTCATATGATTCTGGTCAATTCAACAGGGTTTTGCAACAGCAGTAGGCAGAAAAGTAGATTTGTAAACTCTGGGTTTGAATTCAAGGCTGCTGAGATTCAAACCCAAGACCCTGATAAATCATTATTTCCCTGCGAAAAAGCATTTAACTTTTGCGACCACTGACAAACTTCTTGTTGGCGATTTTTGCAAACCATTTCTTACTCCATATATACATAGTGTATTTATTTGTCAATAAAGTCAATTTTTACAATAGCCAACAGAGATTGTTTGTAAAATTAACTTTGACTTGGTGAAATTCCAAGACAAACAAGCTGACCATCACACCTAATTATTCTTCCTCCATTTATGTAAACGTTCATATTTACAAATTGATAAAATTAATTTTGTACAAAAATTAAGACTGATTCCTCGAGAAATAAGTTTATGACTAGAAAATCGGTATAAAATTTATATTAAAAGAGATTTTGGAAAGCATTGGCTTGTTAGTAGCTGGCAATTTGGTGAAATTCAAGGACAACAGGCCAGACATCTCGCCAAATAATTCCTAGCCCCATAAGCATTAGTATTTACAGGTCGATAAAATAAATTTGCAGAATAATTATGAAAGATTCTTTGAAATGTAAGGTTTCGAGATAACAACAACTAAATAGAATTTCAAGTTAAAACTGATTTCATGGGACAAATTGCTGTTGGTAGCCAGCAAATTTGTGAAATTCAATGACAAACAGGCCAGCCATCGCACCCAATCATCCCCAGTTTATACAAATAAACTTTAGTATTTACAGTACTATAATTAATACAATTACTTAAAACAAAACTTTTTTAAGAAAAGATCTAATTGAAATTTAAATTAAAACTAACTTAAGGGTAAAACTATTGATCTCAGTGGCCAGCAACTTGGTGAAATTCAAGGGTAAACAACGTCTCATCTAATCATTACATGCACATATGTACATTTCCTCATAGTAAATTATAGGGTTTATAATAAGATTAAGGCGAACGAAGTAAAACAATGTTTCAATACAATAAGATCCGAATTGATTCGAGACTTGTTAACTGAACTTATTTCTAGGGGGTTTCTGTTTTGTCGTTAGTCGGCAACTTGGCGAGACTTTGAGGATTTTGCCAAGAAACTCCAAAATAGAGTTTGAAAATCACCTTTCTCGCTTCCTCGAGTTCTTTCGCCTTCCTCCAATCGTCCCTGGACTTTTTCTTCGGCTCGTCCGGATCCGTGCTGCTCTTGAGTATCGCCGAAACCGGCAGATTTGTTGACGTTGCCATGTCTTTCGAGTTTCGCTCGATAGTCAGTATCCAAAACACTTCATAGCCTAATTTCTGAAAGTTTGTTTTGGAAATGCGACTCCGAGTTTCAGAAGGTTAAACGACTGTTTGTATTTGCGAGCGCAGCCTTGCTGAAAGTTGCGCACCGGTGACATCACGCCTATAACGTATCAAAAGTAGTGCCAACACATTTTCAAGTTTTTATTTCAGAGGATATTTTCTTTTATCACCAAAAAAGCATTAGCTTGTAGTATATACAACAATATAACAAAATTTTCATGGTAATAGTTAATGAACCGTTTATAATTTTATTACTATGAGAGATTTACTTCAGATAAAACTTTTTGGTCAGCAGGATACAATTTTCATGAATAGCCAGGCTAAAATGAACCAAACAAAATTATGATGGATGATCAGCAATTTTTTTTTACTTGTATAAGGTTAACAAAAATATTTTCTTGTGGAAAAGTTTAAGAAATCCAATACATAAAAATACTGCAGTTGGCAAAATACTGAAATGTAGACCAACACAGCAAAGATAGGCAGACCAAAATGATTAGTAACAACAAATCACAGGTTCATCACCCCATCAAACTGCACAAATTTAAAATTGGATATCACTAAATTTATAACCACACCAATCGGTTTCTTTCATATTAGTTCCATAAGTGTGCACATAAGTTCATATAATAAAGTTAAAACTAGCTAATATTGTGATTTTTTGACTTGAGCTCAAAGGTCTGTATGGGGTGAACCTGGAGTTTGGTTATTTTTGATGATTTTTTGTCTGCTTATCCTTGTTGCTAAGCCAATTTGTTGATCCAATCAATTCATTTCACATCATGCTTTAAATGCAGATATACTATTATTCTATAGGCTTGAAGAATCCAGTGAACAGACCCAACACCTTACTTGGCAAAATGCCGAAACACGTCTGACATACCAACACAGCAAGGATAGGCAGACCAAAATTATCAATAACAACCAATGATCCTTGAGGTCTTCCGGTGATTTTTGGTCTGCTTTGGGGGGGGGTTGCAACAGTTTAGGCGTTGATACGTTGCTCATCACTGTAAAATAAAGGTCACGGGTTTGAATACTTAAAGGAAATGACCAAATTCAGTCTTTAAAAAAAAATTGAAATTCTCAAACATCTTGCTTTGATAAATTGTGTGATTTCCTCTTGTGGTCTGTGGGGTGATAAACCTATTGTTTGATAGTTACCTATCAGCATTTTGCTATCTTAATGTGAATTGTATGTCACTGGAGAAAGCGAAATGCTGAAATGGGTCTGAACCAACAAAATTCAGTGAGGATAGGCAGACACGATGATAGGTAACTATAAAACAATAGATCTTGTTTTGTTCATTAACTTTATTGGAGAAATAACAAATTGTAAATTGTAAGCCTTTTCTTTGTCCAGTGAATTGAAATTTTAAAACATTGTTATAGCATGTTGTAACTTAAAATATAATTTGCTTGTCAGACACCCTGAAGATGGCATAATGCCGAAATGTGTCTGACACAAAAATACTAACATAATCAAGTTTTATAAAATGCGCTGTATCCCTACATTTTCTTTTACAAAAAGTGGATCTACATACTCACCCTATCATCATTTCTACTGCATTTTCTTTTCCATTCTGTTTTATCCTTCCAGTCTCTTTTATATACTTTCTCTGTTTGGATTGTTTTAAAATATGTGTCCGCTTTCTACTAAGACATATACACCAGCACTAACATAAAAGTTGATCATTACCGATCATTTTGGTCTGTCTATCATCGCATGGTTGATCGGTCAGTTTGGCTGTTAAATCTAGACCAGTTTCTCAATGTGGGGCCTACGCCCCACAGGGGGACAATTTTATTTTTCTGGGTGGGAGCAATTTTGAAAATAACTTGTTTAAATTTTTATTCAACTATGTGCCAATTCTCAATCATCATTTAATTGAAAATCATTGAATGCTTCTGTTTGCTATGAAATAGCTAAATTTATTTGTCAGATCTCGGGTTATTCCTATCCTCTAGCTCTTCATGATATTTTTCAATATCCTAAAATAATTACTATTGGTATCTTATTTTCACTGCGTTTTAAGTAAGGCTTATCCTCATCACTGCAGTAATTTAAATTATTGTTCACTAAAATCTTTGTAAATTCTCTCTTTTTCATAATTAAGTATATTTTATTAGTGTTGAATACGTGATATGTACATTAAATTGTTAAATTATATTAAATTAGTTTTTAAAGGTCCTAATTCTAGAATAATGAGAAAGGAATGTTTTTGTTTGGTTTTTTAAATTTTTGGGAAAATTCAGCATTAATATTGTTACGCACAGTTACGATTTATTCGCGTTTTTTATGAAAAGGAAAAAATCTAAAACTAAAATTTCAATAAATATTACATAACACCATAAATGTAATCTTATAGGCTTATATAATTCGTTACCATATTGGCTTTTTCAGCTCCACAATTTACTCCAAATCTATAAAGCAATGAATTGAAAATAAGATGCGGCGTTACAGTTTTTATATACAGTACCGTGCAATTTCCACCAACTACCGCTATTTTTTAAAACAAAGATTGATTTTTACTGATGCAATGTTATCACGTTCGATCGCATTGTAATTTAAGACTTATCCTCCAACTGTTTGCTGAGGTTTTACAAAAACCGAATTATATCATTTACTTATTATGCAAGAAATAAAGGTAAAAACGCAAACTTTCGGTGAAATGTGATAAGCTTATATTAAAATCATTTTGGGAGGTATTTTTTCTCAATACCAATGATCAGCAACTTGATGAAATCCAGACACATTGTTAATTAATTAAAAACCATTAAAGTGAAATTAAGACAAAATCGGTTCTACCATAAAAAAAATTGAAGAAATCCATAATTATGCATAAACACCAGATTTTCAAAGAACAAGATATGTCATAATTTATCTGACTCTAGCCAATTCAACAGGGGTTTGCAACAGTAGAGGTCATATCAACCCCCCTCCCCCAAGGGTTTAAAAAAATCTTTTTTTAAATAGGGTGTGAATTCCCCCATGTTTTGTCCTTTCGCCCAATCATTTCTTACTTACATTACATACATTTAAAGTGTATTTACAGGACAATAAAGTGGATTTGTATTACAATTAGAATATTTTTTGGAAAATAAGGTATTAAGATGACCAAATTCGAATTTAATTTTAAAACTCATTTCAAGCGTGCATTGCTTGTCAGAAGTCAATTTGGTGAAATTAAAATACCACACCCTTCTCACACAAATCAATTATGGATCCATTTCAGCCACATAATTGAAATCGCCAAATTATCTTTTTTCTAGCCTTAACATCAAACTACTGCCTTGGCAAGAAGCTCAAATTCTTAAATGCATAGTAGTAAATAGTCATTCGAATTCCTTTCCTATCGTTATTACTTTTTGTTATTTGATTCAACCAAGCTAAATCTTAGGATCAAAAATTCTTTTATATTAAAAATCTAAGTGTATCATCGTACTATAAAATTTATTAAGCTGCTTTCAGCTTTCGAGGATGATAATCTGGGAAGGAAAATTGCATTTAAAAATGAAACTACACATGTATTTAACGTACAAGCATTGGGTCAAAATGAAAAAATAAGAATTAAAAAAACCAGAACTTTCTTCCGTACATTATATCCACATTGGCACTTTATTAAATAGCACTTTTTTAAAAATGTGAAATAAACAATTATTCATTTGAACAATGAAATGTTTATGAACTGGGACAGAATATATATGTATATATTTATATGCTTGATTTCCTTTTTATGTTTCTTTGTTATACTATATGAACAAATTGGATACAATCAAACAATTAAATCCTAAGTTAACAGAAAAATGAACATCGATAATAAAACGCCCACCCATGCCTTTACACTCAGATGTTGGAAAACAGTGAAAATAAAAACAATCACAATAAAAAAAAAATTGTTTATACCTCTCAGTCTTTGTATATATACATATACACAGAGACACCGGTAATATATGGTAACAAGTATAAAGTGAAAATACAACAGTTAAGTACCATCTGAAAAATGATTTTTTTACACACTATGTTGTTTTTTTTTGTTTTTTATTTTTACAGATGGGAAGATTTTTTTATATTGACTATAAAATAATAATTGATATAATATATTTAACTATTTATCCATTTATAAAATAGACAAATGCACATTGCACCTTGCATTTAAACATATAGTGAGATCAAGGGCGCCCCAAAAAGTTAAACAAAAAAAGCACATAAAAGGGCAACAAAACCGTTACCCACTTAAATATCCTCATTCTACAAATGAAATCTATATCCATTGTAGAAAAAGTGTAAAGAAGAGCAGGATATATTTATTTTATTTTTTATTAGTTTTTTATTATTTTTTGTTTTTGTTTTTGACACATCTTAATTACAATATTTACAACGTTTGCTTGCTTACATCATGAGCAACAACTTTTTCATTTTGAAACTATTCTGTCACCTTGAGAATGTATCGTTGATTATGTAAACTTGGACAAAAATGTACAAAATATATACAAACACTTTGTATATTTATAATTATTTACAAAGTAACTTAACATATACTATCATCATCAGTCGTTATTCTAACGTCCTGTTCTTGTTTGTTTTTTCGTTTTTTTTAATAATCTTTTGTATATATATAATATTTTTAACAAATGTAAATTTTACAAAAAGAAAAGGAAAAAGGGAGGTTTTAAACCATCCATAAATGAAAATGCCTCCAACAACAAAGTCCAAATATGTACAGATAGATAATACCATCAACAGCCACCTAAACAAACCTTCTTTTCAAAATTAAAGTCTTTTGAGAATATATCTTTTTAATTAGGTTTCATGTTTCTTTTTTTTTTGTTTTAATAAAAGTGATTTGTTTTTAAATAAATCTGCTTTCCTAAAACCTTTATTTTTTACAAATTTAAAGCTATCCAAAACTACATTAGTTTTGTTATTCACAATTAAAAGAAAACATTAAAAACAATAAAATCAAAAAACAAGGAATAATTTCTTTGAAGAAAGAAAAAGAATTTGTTTCCCGCGATAACAGACGAAAAATTATTTTTAAAAAAGAAATAAAAATAGCACCACTAGTTGAAGGTGTTCTTTGGTTCTTGTACTGTGGGCTATGAGTCTCCATTCTCTTCTTTCTTCATGTTCGCCGTTGGCCCCGAAGAGTCGGTGCACTCGAGGACGGCGAGCGAGTCCTTGACGGCATGGTACATTATGTTTTTTATTTGTAGTTTGTCCTCATGATTCGTATGGGTGTCTGAGAGATCTCGGAACTCCTGGGTCAGGTGGAAACAGTGTGAAACATTCTCAGGCGATACAAAGTCTTCGGCTACTTTGATACAGTTGTGCAAATTCCTCACCTAGAAAAAACAAAAACATTAAAATCTTGTCTTTGTAGAATTCTTTGAAAACAATTTTTTAAATTAATAAGAAAACTGATTTTTACCTGATGTGGGGCACCGGCAGGTACAAAAACAGCATCTCCAAGACACTGTACAATAGAATAGCCTTCGACTCCGTATTCTTTGTACAAACGCTCCCTTAGACTAGTATCCAAGTACCAACTCTGGTCATGGATCGGATCGTGGTGTGGTTCAGGTCTAGCTCCTTTTTCCAAAGCCACCTATGACAAAAAAAAAAGAAGCCATTTATCAGACTAATATGTTTTAAAAAATGATACAATCCATAACTATTATAATAATAAATCATCAGGTTCGGGATAAAGTCTAATCATAATGAAAATTCTGAACTTTTAAATCATCATAATTGAATTTCTTTTCAATTTTTCTGGAGTATGGAAAACAATGGACTTACTTTATTAAGGAGGTCTCGAATTTTGTCAGAGTCTCTGGCAAGGTAAATATGCCAAAGAGCACCAGGAAGCTGGCCTTTTTCTCTGACCCGTCGTCTTGTGAGGAGATCACATCCAGCTTCGTCAATTGCTCGGTATACATCTGAGAAACAAAGATTCAATTATGAGTAACATTCAAATTATGTTTGTAGGAATGATAAAAAAAAGCATAAATGCCAGCTGATTACTGCACAATACACAAAATTTAATTATTACCTTTACAACACTGTTCTTGATCAACATCTGTCGGGATGCCAACATACACCATGACATTCACTGCATCTGAGATGTCGAGATGTAAGTTGGTAGTTCCGGCGGTTGGGTGGGTTGCAGAGCCATAAGCCGTATACATTTTTGGCCCAAGGTCAGGACGGACAAAACATTCCGGAAGTCTCGAAGCAAGGTTCAGCCTGCCAGTCCTATTTGTATATTCCGCCATTGGAAGTACTTTCATCAAGTCGTTAAACCTTTAAAAAGATGGAAGAATTGTTAGATAATAAGTTCGAAAGATGTTACAAATAAATAATTACCTGGATGGAAGCATTTCAGCAAAATCTTCGCCCGGGGGCCAGTCTTTTAATTTGAGGATCATTGGGTTGTTCCTCTCGTCTTTCAGTCTCTTGCTGACGGATTCAAAACCGTCCCAGAACTTCCTCATCGGCTGGTTGGGGACTGTGTTACCATTAATACAGTTTATGAGATCATTTCTCGTTTCGCCAAAGTCCCTCGCGAAAGATTCCGGCGTCCAGAGGTCCGAGTCAAGATGCTTTGTAACATCTGATATTAGAATTGGTTGTCCTCTTTTCCACTGATCCTAAAATTGTAATATTTTTGTTTAAAATACGTTTTTCAATTTTTTTTTTTTTTAAAGCTTAAATTACTTACTTGGAAGGCGACGTAGTTTTTAGGATTGGTCGAGTCCAGAAGTCTCAAAAGGGTGCCACCGCAGAGCCAAGAATGAGGCACATCTGGGTAAAGACTTTTACTTTCAGTCATTGTCATTATCCGGACGTGTAGGCTTGGATCAACCGTGACTCCGTTCGGGCCTCCGATTCTCCTGAACTTACGGACAAAGTGCTTGAGCTCACCCCTGGCCTCGTCCTTTGCGACCTGATGTTCAATTACTGTCGAAATCACTTGGTCGAGAGTTTCAAGTTGGCTTTTGGCCGGGGAAGGGGCTCTCGAGCCGTTGCTCTTTCCTGATGGCCTGATTAAGAGCTCACGGAGGGTTGAGTAGTTACTATCCTTGTCATCATCTGACGTAAACTCATTCTCTTCTTTTTCCTACAAAACAAAGAAAATGTTTTTATAATGTTTCACCATGTAACTAATAAATAAAAACTCAAGTTTAAAACTGAAATTTTAAATTTTCAAAATTGAAAATTACCTCGGAGGTTTTCTTCTTGTCTTCGGAAAGGGCTACATCAGCCAACCATGATAGGGTGGAACTGTTATCATCAGACTTATTTTCCTTCTTTTCCCTACCACTGTCGCCATTCAGTTCTTTTTTCTTGGACAACGCATTTTTAAAGACCTCCTATTATACAATAAAAACGTTTAAAATAATCTTTGGTAGAGCAAACCTGACCAAAGCAACCAAGTGAAAATTACCTTTGAGACACCGTTTGAGATGCCGAAGCACTCGCAGTGGCACTGCTGACCCCAGGTCTGCCGGATCCCATGGATCTTCTGTCCAAGTTGGTTGAGCGAGTCACCGGCTATGATCTGAGTCAGCATGAGCTTCTCCTGCTCGTGGCCCTGCCTATTCGTGCACAAAAGCCACGACATTTCATCTCTATCACGTCCAGTGTCGCCCCAGGCCTTTATTGTACCATTTTTCCTTCCCTGCAATCACAATAAAACATATTAACATCTAAATCATAAACAATTCAATTAATTTTATATACAGTTTTGGTTTCAGATTCGGGATAAATTTAAATACATGTTTTTCTTTCATTTAATATTTTGTCATCATTGCTTGATTTAGCGTTTTGACGGATAAATTTGATTATAATCACCTTATAACAATCGATGCATACGACAAAACCACACTTAACGCAAGCCCAATGGAAATTGAAAAGTGTAGTTTCGCATACGTCGCACATCTCCCTGACACCTTGTACGACTCTTTTCCATGCTATTGTTTTATCTAAAACCGCAAAATTCAAGTTAGGTTTAATCATATTAGACATTAACTTAACATTGTATAAAAAGAATATAAATAATTACCTTCAGACATATGTACAGATACAGCTTCTTTTTCTTGTTGGAGGAGATCGCAAAATTGATCACCCACTTGAGCAAGTAGGAACTTTGACATGTCGACATCAAGACCAGGTGGAGAGGTACCCTCACTTGGCAACCACAGCTTCAAGTCATCCTATTATAATAAAAGATATAAGAATTTTACACATTTTATGAAAATAAACTTAAAATAAGAACTTTGCTTACTTGTAGAGCATCCCGATGGGGATCGGAGAATCCAGCGATGGCTAATTGCCCATTCTTGGTGTACCTTAGTCTCCTGAAGGCATAAAACCGGCAGAAGATGTTGGGCATGTTCCTGTTTCGTTGGTTTGGCGTCCACCGGCATTCCCTACATTTGGCCAATTTAGGCGCCACCTCGAAGCAAGGGCCATCTTGAAGGAAGCTCTCGCCTGTTTTCTTGAGCTGCCCCACGCTAGGTTTTTGGATGGGGTCACGCTGTGGGGTTGTCCTGTCTTCTTCTTTGATCTTCTTCCGCGACTCCTCCTCATTTCCGTTTTTTGACGGCGTAGACTTTGGTCTCCTTCCTCTTTTTTTGCCTCCTTCTTTGGTTTTCTCTTCTTTCTTTTTACTACCTGTACTGTTGCTGTCTGATTCTTTGTCACTGCCACTTTCTTTATCACTGTCCGTACTAGAAACACTCGTCTTTTTTCTTTTTGCCTCTTCAGGAACAGTTTTACGAACACCTTTCTTCCGTTTTACTTTAGGAGGTACTCTTTTCTGTGGCGTTGATTTCCGTTCGGGATCTGAACTCGAAGAATCATCTCCTTCAGGCGTTTTCACATTAATGTGTCCATTTAACTCCTTGGGTCCTTTACGATTCACTTTTGGCTTTTTCCCTAACGATATAGAATTTACTGCCATCGAACCTATACTGTGTATTGAGTTCACTACACCTTCACTTTTTTTAACAGGAACACTGGGCGGAACGGGCATGGGGAGGGTCACACAAGTCCCACTACATTTCACATCACTAGAATTTTCTGTTGTATCTTCACCAGAATGTCTTTGTAACCAGGCCTTTTTGAGCTTATGAACTGGATATGATGGCCGAGGTGAGTTGGACTTCTCTGGTTCAGTCGGTTTAGTCGGGGTCTGAGGCCGGTCCTGTTGAAGGGACGTATTCAGTACAGTAGTAATAGTGGTTGCTGCCGTTGCCAACAGAGGACTCGCTTCACTCACTCTCGCAAGTACAGGTTCTTCCTCTGTTTTGACTTTTTTCAAGTCTACTTCCTCAGGTATTTCCTCCGCTTTTCGCTTTGGAGATTGAGGCTCTTCTTTAACTCCGAGGTCAAGTGGTTGTAATTGCTGTGGTGACGTAGGAGTTACTTGCGTGATGCTTATAATTCCCTGTCCAGAAAACGTCTTTGTGGCATGTGCAGCTGGTGGAGGTGGAAGTCCACTCCCTTGAGCCGTTTGATGTGGGGGTGGGAGGTTGTGTTGTGAGAGTTGTTGGTAAGGAGAAGGGGTCAAAGGTTTTGAAACGATGTCGTTTCTAGTAGGGCGGCTCGGTTTGTAACAAACTGTCGGAGTGTTGACCATCGTTTTAGGTGGTGTTGTGGGGGGAGCGTAATGTACAGCAGCGGCTGGATAAGGGTATGAGCTCACCGTAGCTGACTTACTGTATGTTGTCACCATAGCAGGAGGACTAGGATGAGGGTGTAAATGAGGGGAAGGTGGGTGGTGTGGAGATTGCCTATGTTGTGGATGAGGCGATTGCCTATGTTGGGTGTGCGGTGACTGCCTTTGTTGATGGGGTGATTGTCTCTGTTGTGGATGGGGCGATAAAAGTTGTGTTCTATGCATGTGTACCTTAGAAATACTAGCCAGGTTCTGACCATCAAAATGAGGGCTTGGTGACGTCTGAGAGAGTGGGTGAGGAGATTGGGAAGGGCTCCTGTATTCAAACGGTGACTTGGACGTTGGAAGGTAGTCCGTTCTTAGCTTCGGACTTGGCGAATGTATTTTGTCCAAGCCAGGTGACTTGTCATTTTTCACTATCACAGAGCTCTTAAGGTCACTCATGAGAGGCGGCGGGTTCGGAATTTCTACTGCCTGAACCTTCAAATCTTTCGATTTCTCATGGTGAAGGTAACTCATGGGCTGGTACCTAGGCAAGTTAAAAAAGTTAAAGTTGGGCTCGGCCTTCGGCAGGGCGGTGTGCTGCTGCTGCTGTTGTTGTTGCTTCTCGGCTTGCATCTGTTTCATTGCCCTGTGGCTTTGAGGTGGATAATCGACTTTGTTCGAAATCGACACTCGCGCCGGGGTTGATGAAGCCTGCTGCTGGTAATATGCCCTGTCCCTCACTTCTTGTTGACGTATCCTTTCTGCTAATATCCTCGTTTGCTGATCGTGAACTATTGCGGCTGCAGCTGCATGCGCTTGTTGCTGCTGGGCATGCTGTTTCCTCTCCTCTTCTGACCTGCTGCCAGGAGGGCCAGGTAGACTGTTAATCCAGCCCATATTGTTTCTCTGAAAAAATAAATATATATTATTATTTAAAAAAAAAAATGGCTAACTGAAATTTATAAAACACCTCATTTAAAGTATCCATGTTTGTGTTTTTACAATTGTTTTGATAGAGTAAGAAGAATAAATAAATTATATGACAGCAGTTAGTGTTCTACATAAAGGGTAGAGTAGGTCTAAGTGTGGAACGGTTAAATCCTAATACTAGGTAACAGGAGACATACAGTTCTAAGAAAGTTAGAGTAAACAAAAAGTATCGAGTCCTTCCCATGTTTTAAATACATTAAACCTTTTAAATAGAAATAATCGTGAATTTCTTTAATAGGAGTCACGACCGGAATATGATCGACGAGAGGGAGAAAACTTGAAATAAAGATAAATACAATACTAAAAACTTTGTGTATATATTAAAAGGTGGTCAGACAACGTGAAGTTCAGGAGGCATTGAAAAACCAGAAATAATACGAATAGCAAATTTGCAGTACAGAAAGCATTGAGTTACGTCAGAACGGCGATTTCTGTACAGCCGGCTGTTTTCGTTTTGTTTTTAATTTCAATTTCAGATTTATATAAAAATGAATTCCCATCCGGAAAAAACAGGATTTGCCATGACAATAAAAATATTCCCAGGTGCGCGATTGCGAAAATGCACGTAACGATGTGATACCTCAATTATTGCAGAAAAAGATATATGTATATAAAAACCAATTCCTCGCGTAAAAATTTGCGCCTTAGTTCCCTCCTCCAAAATCAAGCACGAACTAAAAATAGAACAGACATAAACAACATAGAAAAAAGGGTTTGCGTGTTTTTAAATAATCCGAAAATTTTGTCAATAAACCAATCTACGCAATAATGAGTAAACAATTGTTTACAGGAATATAAAAGATCACAATCAACAATAGAAGTTGTTTACAAGGTTTTGTTTTTGTTCCTAACTACTTAACCCTGATGAAACTGTCAATTCCCAATCAGTTTTTTTAACCCACGCTTCACGATATTTACATAAATAAAAAACAATTAAAATAAAGATAATATATACAGATATCTGCATCTAAAGTCTGTTGTTGACAAATGATATCAATTGATGTTTACCATCATTAGCTTATTATGTTAAAACTATTTAAACCTGATGAAACAGTCAGCTCCCAACCAGTTTCTCTACATTTTTTTTAACCTTTCTCTGCATCTATAGCCTGCCTATTTGTTGTTGATAACTTACATCAATTGATTTTTTCAATCATTAGCTTATTTAAATGTTCCACCTACTAACCTTGATGAAATTGTCAGCTCCCAACCAGTTTTTTTTTTTTTACTCCCAAGGCTAATAATTTTCATACAAATTAATTTTTTTCGATCATCCTCTGCATCCATAGTCTTCTGTCTGTTGTTGACAACTGACTTCAATTGATGTTGTTGTTTACAATCATTAGTTTAATCAATGTTAAAACTACTAACACAGATGAAACTGTGAACCCAACCAGTTTCTTTGCACCCAATGCTACGCGATGTTCATATAAATAAATAACTGCCTTTTGATGTCTAAAGTTTAAAATCACTTTTGTTTGGCCAAAACTGCTTAAACCTGATGAAACAGCTTCTAATTAGTTATTTTACATCGACGGTTTGCCTGTTGATGATTAGTGACTTCAATTAATGTTGCTTACAGTCACTTTTTTTGGGCCAAAACAACATTACTTGTTACAGTAGTTTTGGTAGAATATAAAAGTTTAGTACAGAAAGCAATTAGTGTCGAGATAATTCATTTTCTCATTAGTCACCAGTGAGCATTGATTTGAACAAAGATTTCTTTGAAGATCATGCCACGGTAAAACCTTGCTTCATCGATTCAGGAAAAAATCGAAACCGTCCAGACAAGGTCCTTTTCCCAATTCAATCACAAATTTCTCGAGTACACTCGACCTTCTCACGCCTTTTCGGGTTCCAGGTTGTTCAGCTGGCTTCTCCCACGATGAGGGAGTAGTAAAACTGGCCCAATTAAATCCGGGCGTACACAAAAGGTGTATAATTTGAGCTGAGACCTCCTGGAGGGGGGATCGGGCAGACGAGACAGGTTTCGGGAGACCCGTCCTGGCCCCCTTTTTTATAACACAGGTAATAGCTTTCACACAATGGGCTTACAGATCGTCCTAATCCCCCTCCCTCAGGTCTCGGACCCTATTGTCAAGGCGAGTGGAAGGACCTTCTTATTAGATCCACTATTTACTTTCCCCCTTTTGCCTAGGGAAGAAACTGGTTCCGTTTTAATACGGCTAAAAACTTTTCTTTGGTAATTTTTTCTAGTCTCGGAGAGGCGATAGCGGTACTTCTAGTCTCTCTCCTGCCTTCCTGGGTTTTTCTTTTAATTGAATAAAAACCTCTAGTAGTACCGACTGTCCACACGGAACGTGCGGTTTGGACAGGTTCAGAGCTTTCTCTCGTTCTGCGTCTATTCCGCACTTTGTGACCGCCTGTTTACGACAGATATTCAAGGACGATTCACTAGATCCTTTTGTTTACTTCAGAATACTTTTTTTACAACTAGTAAAAAGCACTTAAAGTTGAACATAAAAATACCTTACTGGGTTCACAAGTATTTTTCGGACTAATTACTCTGATCATCACAAAATTCCAATAGGAAGTTTGGTCGTTTTCTATTATCTATCTATACTAAAGCTTTGTGTGGACCCAGCCCTGAAGACTGAGAAGCACGGAAATGATCAAACTACTGGTTCTTCTACCCAGAGATGTTTCACAAAAGATAGATAAAAAAATCAGGGATGTAAGGTCCATTTAGTAATTTAAATTCTGATATTGAATTTTTTCTAACTGTTAAAATATTCCGCACTTAAGTGAAAAGCCCGGTTTCTCATATCAAGCCGTACCTACTCTTCTCAAAATCAGTGAAGGTTTCCAGGAGAAAAACTCGTCTTTTGAACAAAAATACGAATTTGTTTTAAGTGAATTAAAGTTTAAAGATTTTATTTTTTAAAATGATCGAAGCCCTTGTTAAGGATATTCTTTGCCCGGCCATTTATGCTGTTTTTGGTTTTGACGAAATTTCAGCAAATTTATCCTTCAACCGGCTGTTTTTCCTTGAAACCATTTTTAACAATACGTTTTTAGTAATTTAACGATGTTTGAGTTTGAAAATATACGCGTTTCTAGTTGGCTCATCGGATTTGATCGGTTTCACTTTTTTTTTTTCAAAAGTTTTTTTTTTAATATCCAATAACAATAGCCTTGGCCGTTGAAAATCTATTTTAAAGTGAAAACCATTCCCGGCTCTGTGTGAAAACATGACGGTTTATCCCAAGACGCATGAATATTCAAGATTCTCACAGCAAAGATGCAATAGTCGTTTTCACAACATACAAAGCAATTTGGCCATTTCTTCTTGTTTTTCGTGTTCATATCTCTCATATATATGGTAAACAAAAATTAAAAATTTACACACTGTGTCATGAAAATTGGATAGGTTTAAAGTTGGGTACGGTGCGAAGAAATCGGATCAGCTTCAGTATCGCCCATGAAGTGGGGGCAAGGACGAAAATAGTAAACAAAATTCTTTGTTTATCTTGCCTTTTCGAATAGGATAATAAATAAGGGGGCCCTCTTTTTGAAGATAGAGCACATAAAAAAGAAGGGAGGAAGAGAGTTTGAAAAGCCGAGACCTGCGAAATCAGTCGTGTCGGATCCCCATCAGATAATTAATTATTAAGGGAGTTACATGGCAAAATAATTGGGTTAAAGGCTTACAATCTGTTTGTTTGTTTTTTATACAGACTGCTGCGGGTAGAATTGATCTGAAACGTAATAGTGTACCAAGACCTCGGGAGTGACTAATCCGGTGATTCAGCTCAGAAGGGAAATTGCCCGATGACTGCATAATGGCCAATTTACATTTTTATGACGGGACCGCGAACACGACCTGTTATCAAACCTCCATGACGGAGGAAGTCCACATTCCTGGAAAACAAATCCGATTCTACGATAGAAAATATACCACAGAGAGAATGGGTTTTTCATTTAAAAAAACGGGCTTTGCGTATTATGCAAAGTTGCACGTGGTTGTCGCAGTTAAGTTTTTTTTAAATTCTAATCCTCCTCCGGCTAATCTCAAGAAGCGCGTGATAAAATATTTTCTAGAGTCGAGGCACAAAAATCCGAGAAAACAACTTTTTATCAATTACGAATTTATTTATCTTATCTGTTAATTTTTTTATTAATATTTTTATTGCCCGGTTGTTATCGTTGTCAGAACCTCGGCTCGGTAAATATCCATTTTTTGATTATCGTGTGAATTATTCTCCAATCTAGAGGTTGTAGATAATTATAGTTAGAAAAGAGTGTTAAATTATTAAGAGATAAGAGAAAAAAAATGTAAGCTGGTTTCCGATCATTATTCGATCGGAGTATCCTAGCTTTCAGACCCACCACTGATGACGTCGAGAAACTGAAACGCTTTAAATAGACCAAAACTATCTGAACTGAACAAACGGGTCTATCACCCCAAAGACCTTTGATAATCGTAGTTTAGCCGTTTTAAATCATTTTTAATCGGACTATTTTCAATGTTTTGTTTCTCCGACCTACCACTGATGCTGATGAGAAACCGAAACGCCTCTTACCTACTCAAAAGGCCTGAAACGCCGAGGAAAAAGAAACAAAACGTTTAATATCTTTTGAATAAAATCATAGGATTGTCAATTCTGATCATTTAATCTTTGGAGTGTTGTAAAGGACTTTAAAGCTCCATTTAAAAGCCGGGGGGAGGGGGCTTGACGAGGCGAAGCGCTTTCCCGTCGGACGAATAATTCGATTACCGACGTTATAACTTCCCCTTGGCAAGTTTCTAAATTTCTGGAATATCACGGGTTTCGCGATTCACTTTGATTCATAAACCCGGAGTTAATTTGACGATCCGGGACTGAAAAGTCTGAAGTCCCCTCTTTTTAATTTGGATGAAGCCCTAGTGGGTGCGAAAACTTAGTTGCAAGACGTAAATGAGACCTACGACAGGAAAACTGACATCACGTACTCTTTAAGACCAAACCAAGGTTCGCAGAATCTCGCTTGTTTCGCGGCAAAGCAAGGGCGTTTGAAACTCCTGGCAAATTATCTCTGAATTATTTCAATTGCAAATTCGCCATGTCAAAAACCCCGACGATTGTTTGTCCCTCTTGGCAAACAAGGCCCGCAGTTAAAATAGCAGGCTTTGAATTTATTCCAAAATTAGCATAATGTTTTTTCCTCCTTTTTTTGTATTTTTATTCACAGTGTTACGTATGGTTCAAGGACGTTCTTTACACAGTAAAAGCCTAACTGGTGAAATCAATAATTACATAAGAAATGAGATTGTAAGTGTTTACACATCATGAAAGAGTCACCGTTCAAGTCAAACATAATCATCGTTCATTATATTTAATATCGCTAACGAAGAATCCTTTAAACAACCCTGTAATCAAAAACCGCTTCAAAACGGCGATAACTCTCTCTCTAAAAAAAGGAAATCAGGCCGGATGATTGGTTACAAGTCCTGATTATCGGAAAGTTTGACGACGCGCTGGAAACGTTGAAACAAAGCGTTGGTTCACAATTCCTACCTGGGTTGGCCATTTATTTTATTTTAATAAGGCGAATCGGTCGGAAAAACAAATTGGACTGTGTTAATTTTTTATCTGGGACGTTATCATGAACTTTTCGACTCTGTTCAAGGATGTCAACAAATCCATTTAAGCCAATTTCGCAATTGGATTGATTTTTATAGTTTACATTAGAACGCAGGATTAAAAGCACCGCGTGGCCGAACATACCGATGAAAGTTGTGTAAGCCCTATGCGGATTTTTTTTAAGATAAAACTTAACATCCTAAACCAGAAACACTAGACTGAAAGTTGATTTTGCAAAAGTTAAAAATGAGTCAAACCAGATTGTTGAGAAAACTGATCGAATAGGACAAAAAAAAAGAATTGAGAAAACATAATTAATATGGAATAAATACGTACATGTGACTGATTGAGTACGAATGATCGTAAGTCGTGAATGATTGAGTACAACTGAGTTCAGATTGAATACAAATCTTAAGACATTTATTAATGAAGTATAAGTGACTGTGTTTAAATGAGTATAAGTAAATGGTTGATTGATCGTGAATCGTGTGAGTGAGTTTAACTGAGTGCAGTACGAATGATCCTGCTAGTTTAAGTGAGAGATTGAGCACAAATGAGTTAAATACGTACATGTGAGTATATAAGTAAATGATTGACTAAAAACGAATGATCGTAGCTCGTGTCTGATTGATTGAGTCCAAATTATGGTGCGAGTGAGAACAAATTTAAATGAGTATAAGTAAATAATTGAAAGTATGAGTAATATGTAAAGTAAGCGAAATAATTTGGTGAGTAATTGAACTATTGTTGTTTTGTGATGAATTGAGAATAGTCCAGGGAGAGATGATTGATTCATTGATTTATTATCGATGATAAGGCTATTTCACGTTTGTGAACGAGTTCATCGATTGGGCGGGTATAATCTGAACTTTGCTACTTCACAAAATATTTAACTGATAGTGAGCGGAAGAAGGAATTTTGTGGGGGACATTGTACTCCGCCTGTCTTGATTATAATTAAAACGCTGTTGCATCAGATTTTCCAGCGTTGTCATGGAATTTTATAATTTTAAGCCTGGCTTTCTTGTAGGCAGAAAATAAAAAGCTAACATGTGCAAAGGATGGCCGGGTCTATGACGAAAATATTAACACGTCCGTTTTTGCTGAATTTGATTTTAAATACCCTGGAAGGCATTTTCGTCAAAAGTTCAATTTGACATTTCCTGGTCTCTCGAACGTACAATTTTTTTTCATGTTTTTTTTAAATTGGCTCACAGCACTTTTACAGCTTACAAATTGGCACTAAATTAAGGTGAATGATGACTATTCCGTTAAATTAGGTCATTTAAATTTTGCTTTTCTTCGTTTATGACCCGTTTGATTTTAAAAAGCCAATTAAAATTAAGGACAAACCGTAATGAAAATCTATTTCAGAATAACCTCATGCAATCTGACACTTGCGAGATAAACCAAACAATTAATTACAACATATTGACAAAATATGTTTACATTACGAAATAAAAGATCAGATTGAATATATGATTAATACGGTTGTTCGTAAAAAAGAAAAATTAAATCGTTCGTTATTAAAAAAAAAATAGATGAACTTTTTTTTTGGGGGGGGGGGCATCCTGACGCAATCACGGTAGATTAAAGCAAACAATTAATTACAGTCAGGGGTCCATTGCGTAACAAGATTACAGAAAAATTTGAAGAACACTTCCACACCGTTCCAAGAAGAGGGTAAAATTAGAAAAACCGTTCCCATCTACCTGAAAATAGTTTTTCTCGTATTTCCAGCTCAGATCGGCTTTTCTCTGACATCGGGGACGGTCTTTGTTCGACCGTTTTGCCTAAAGGTCGCATACCTGCTTGAAAGAGTCATCGCTATAAATTGATGATGGTGCAGCTATTTGCGAAATAATGGAGGGCGGATTAAAAAAAATCTTGGTATTAATCAGATGGTTTTACACTCGGGGATCTGAATGTTGGGAAAAGAGGTCAATATCACAATTGCTTCTTACGAAACCGCCGTCAATCGTTATTGATTAAAAAGGCTATTAAGTGGGCAATGTGAATCATCTCTGGTTATTGTTGTTTCGATTTCTTAGAAAGTAGGGTGGTGTGGGTGTGCGATTACATTATCGGTCGAGATACATCACGCCCCATGCGTTTTTATGGCATTCGGAGATTAAATTCAGAGGAACTTTGTTATTACGCAAATGGTATTGTTTGATCTAATCAATGCACTGTCTGGTGAACTGGGCCAAAAGTACGACTGTCGAAATGAGATGTTACGAGTGCACGGTCCGATTTGTGCGAGCTCTTCTCGGTATAATCGAAGGAGGAATCCAGTCAGATAAGAATATGCTAAGCAGGGTCCAGGGAGGGACCCATGGAGGAAAAAACCGGTGGTATGGGAGTGTTATTAAAACGAGTGGGTCCCCGTTTTTTTGCCCCCCGACCCCAGGGTGGGTCAGGTGCCCGGAATGCCAGATGTTTACGAGGGTGAAGTCGTCCTTGGGCCTCCCCCTGTGTTTAATGCCAGGACCCCCTCGGCAAACATTGCAACACCATCGATTTTCACCCCCTCCAGTCTTCACGACCATTTTCCGGAAACGCTCATTAGTAAAAGGCCATTAATAAAACCGAGTTCGGAACCGTTTTGCTTTCACTCGCGTCGGGCCTTCCGTGCGGAAACTTTGACCCATTTAATTTCAAATCGATGGTAATTAGGCTGAAAACTCCGTAACCTTTGATGTTATTGTTCATGGTGGGGTGGGAAAGAAAAGAAAAATAGCTTACCTTGCTTTGGGCGAGTCGGAGGGATTCTTCGAAGTGTTTGTGGACCGCTTGTTCGGCGGCCCTTTGTTTCTCTAGTCGGTCCCTTTCTTGCCTTTCTTTCGCCTCGGCTCTCTCTTTTTCCTTTTGCTTCTCCAGTTCTCTAACTTCCTGCTCCCTTTGCCTCTCCCTGGTAAAACACATCATCATAAAATAAAAGCACACTCGATCCGCGAAAACCACTGGGCCGAAGGAAAACCACGGTCTATTTTCTTATCCTTACGCGTAGTGAGGGCTCAACAGATTCTCCACCATAAACATGACTTTGACGGGAGGTACTCCATGGACGGTCGCTCGCAGACTGACTCGTCGGGCCTGCTCACCCCCCCTTCCAGGAGTTCCTCCCAAGATGGCTACCATCCGAGGTGGGGGATGTATTTTTAGTCTACTACCTGCATGCCATGCTATGCCATGCCATGCCATGCTACGCAGCCCCCCTTTTCATGTCGCCCAAGTTACACTGACCCGCCGTCTGATTCATCTCTCCCCGCCTCGCCCGCCCGTTCGCCTTTTCCATCGATAATGACCTTACCCGCCCACACTCCAAAACAAATCCTTAATAGTCTCCCCTCGCCGTACCTCAGACCATACCGAATTCCGAAGAACAGGATTAACGAGGCCCCCGGAATCGGACCGCTCGCCGTGCAACAACAAAAGCACGTTAACGGTATCGGGAATTCAACAGCATCACTTTCTGGGAACTAACCCACTTTTCAATTATAATTCCTGCCATTATCAGAAACGTCCCTTTTTCTCATTTCATAATTAAATCCCTCAAAGGAAGAGACTTCCTTTTTTCCCCCTTTTCAACCCAAAAAATACAAATTCAACATTCACCCACTAGACAAATGGTCATCGATTATCTTAGCATTGGTCTAGTTAGTTAGCTTCATAATGAGAACACAATCATAAACTATTAAAAAATGCATTAGACCTTTAAAAAAATATATGTATTTAAATTTAAACCCGACTACAAATAAATTATATTAATTAAACCTATGTACCCTAAGTCTTTTGTATAATTGTTATTCAACTCGGTTTGTGTCCCGTTATCTGGAATTTTTTCCAAATTATTAATTAGTCTAAAAAGCGGATTCTAGAAAATTTCATACTTTGCTCACTTTGAAATACAGAAATGGTCCTCTTGGTATCGCCACTTTTAATTGGATAACCGATTTAATCTGCAAGACATCCAAATTAGAACAATATTTTTAAAATATTTGAATCACACAAACGTTCTCACTTTTACAATGGATCCGCTTAGAATTTTTTTTTTGCTGTGGTGTATTAAAATAGCGCTGTAGGACCCCTTTTAACCGGCCAGGCAGTAACAGAGAAAAGGAATGCATTGAAAATCTTACAAGAGGAGTACAATTGCAGCCTGCAGGCACTGAGGATTGGGTCTGATAAACTGTAAGAATGGGTTTTTTACTGAAGAAGAAATCATATCATTAGCTACCAAAGTGGATACAGGACAAATGAGGAGGATGAGAGTAGTGTTGAAGAGGTAGAAAAAGTGTTTCATAGTAAAGCCAGAAATGGAGGGTGGCACTGATATACGTGGAACAGCAAAGGGCCAGCCAAAACGAAAACCGGTCAAGGCCCTAGTTGGGAGGTGACCGGTTATCAGGGGTTCTTCGCTACAAGAAAAATTTATACAATGATAAAGAACAATGGGTTCCGCTTGGTCATTTTTATAAAACACGCCAATTTTGCCTTCTGCTGTTCTCTACCTGAATGCCGTAAATTTCTGCCTAGCTTTTACCCTTGGTCTGCCTTGTAATGCTTTTGTGGTTGAACTGGCCAACTACGGACGTAAAGTTTGTTTTTTAAAAAAATAATCCAAAAAGAAATAACAATGGGCCGGGTATCATTTCACTAATTCATCTGAAGTATTTCTTCTATTTGAGAATAGCCTGTTTCTGCATCTTTATTGCAATCGGTCCGCCTAGCATCGCTTCTTTAGTGGCCGAACAATTTTACCGTTAAGTTTAGTGTTTGTTGTTTTAAAATATAATCTGAAGAGAAAGAACGATAGAACATGACACTGACTTTATTTATTGACCACCTGCATTTCTGTCTGAAAAACCTGTTTCTGCCTCATTTGTACAATGGCCGTCAAAGTTTAGTGTGTATGTTGTACAAAGATATCTGAAGAGAAAGTACGAAAAAAGGCTGAATTTACTCAAAGAGAAAAATTCATAATTATCTAATAATATCTAAGAAGTTTCTGTATCATTTTTACAAAGGATCCGTTTTGTACAGTTTTTTTTGTGACCCAAAAGGCCTTGTTTTACGTGCCAACCTTCAAAGTTTGGTGTTTGTTGTTTTAAAATATTATTTGAAAAACAACCAGACAAAAAAGAACAATTGGACCTGGTATTGACTTTATTAATTGATCATCTGTATTTCTGTCTGTGAAAAACCTGTTTCTGTCTCATTTGTACAATGGCCGTTAAAGTTTAGAGTGTTTGCTGTATAAAAATATCTGAAGAGAAAGTATGAAAAAAAGGCTGAATTTACTCAAAGAGAAAAATCCATAATTATCACGTCTTTGTTGAAAAATACGGTAAAATCTGTCTGTACTATCGTGGTGTGTTTATTAAATTGAAACCGTCAAGACACGTTTATAAATAATCACAGGACAACGGGATGATTCTTCGGCAACGTTCACCTTGTTGCATCCTCGGCCTTGGTTAAATTTTAAGGAAGTTGTTTAAGACAACAACGGAGAGGGAATTATCTCACGTAAAAAATCACATCTGACCCGAGGTCAGTGGATTTAATCGATTCAGAAAAGAAAAAGGGACGGGTTCCTCAAATAAACCCATCAGATTGGATCAATGTTTCAAGGTGAATTTCAAACTTTTTATATCAGATTCGCATTTCTTTCCTGTTTTTATTCTCTTTGACCAGCTTTTAAATTAGATTTGCTAGTTACCGAAATAGAATTGAAATTGTGAAAAGCCTGGTTCAATGCTTTCCCCAGACAGGTAAGTAGAGCTTAAAACCGATTTTAACAGTACAAGTGATTAAGACTGGCTTATATTGTGTTTCATAGAAAGGCGTACTGTTCCTGTCTGATATCTCGTAGGTACGCCAAGTTTCAAAAAGGGTTTCAAAATTGTAAACAAATTACCATACGTTTTTATTTGTCAGATATGAGCAATTTGGTAGATAGTTTCCAATATCTTTGATCTGCCGCACGGCTTCTGGGCATCTTCAGTCATCATCTTTTGAAAAACCATACTAACCCACCAAACCAAAATTATGGGGAAGGACCAAACTGCTGGTTCATCACTCCGCCGATTTCCATGAAGATATCTCGTAATAAAAATAAAAATATTGACATCATTGAATGGACTAGCAATCTACAAGTCCCCTTTTTTCTCAAAGTGCCCAAATCGTTGTGATCTATAGTTTGTGACTCGTTGCACAACCTTGTTTAGAGAGGATCTGACCTTTTGGCGATTTTGGAAAGCTAAAAAGTCTTGTTATCGCCTTTCCAGAAAAGGCGATAAGGCGAATCATCCTACACGAGATAAATTTGTTTTGTTTGCCGAGCAATCGGTTTTAATTTGCACTGAGTAATCACACTCCAGGCGAGGAGTGATAATTTCCTCCTGTGCGGACGCATTTTGACTGATAAAAAAGATTTTTTTCTTTTTAATTATATTTATAAACCGACCCTATCTCCTTGGAATGACTCTGGGTAATTGTTAATGAGCTTGTTTTGGCCATTTTTTTACTGGCCCACAGGCGCCGCTTTGTTAAACCGGTTCCTCAAGGCCTTAAGTGTGGTTAATGACGAGGGCTTTCTACCTGACGCTGCCACCATCGTTTTCCCCCCTTCTCGCATAGATCATAGACACAAAGATCTCCCCTCTATAATAGACTTTCCAGGCTATCGGACCGACGGCGATATTCAGAAGCTGCCCCTTATTTATAGACGGCCCCGACACGCCAGCACTGCGGCCAAATCGGTTTAATTTAGGACCGATTTATACACTTTTAGTTTTTATTTGCATACAGGCAGTTTTCTCGAGTTAGAAAAACAATGTTTCGGTTACAGTTCGATCAATAATTTCGTTCCAAATACATTCACCTTATCCACCACAGATACTGGAACAAACCTCCAATCAAAATTACGTCTTCCTAGTTCTAAAAATAATCTTTTAAACGGCAATTATCTTTAAACAGACATCAATGAGATTTGTAAATATGATTTTACCTGGTAATGTACATTTAAGTTAGTTAGTTATAAATTATGGCCAGAATATTTTAATGCATCAAAGAGTATTTTAAAGATTTGACAACCGACAAATAGCGAGGATATGCGGACCGAAGCACTACGTGAGAACCGCTTCAGCTTTCTCAACGCCGTTAATCGATCCGTTTATTTTTAACAATAATGGTTGTATACCTCGACAGATTTAAAGGCAGTTCAATAATTAATTGAACAAAATTTGTTCTTGGTAAGAATGGCAATTCTTAGATTGACCCCAAATAAGAATCAAGAGCGAGACTAAGCGGACCCAAATATGTATCAATTGAAAAAAACTATCTCCGCCTAAATTAAAATCGTCGTGTCAAAAATACACATTACTGAGATTCCCTAATTAATAAATAATTTGTTCAAGTCACTTGCATGATAACATTTATTTATGTAGGATTTTTGCGTACTAACCATGACATTTTCCAGTATTAAAATTTTAAATCAAGCAAGATTGCGAATAGTCCAATTCACTTTCCTTACTTTTTTTATACATATTTATCTGATCTATTGAATATGCAGGGGGTCAAAGAACAAATAGCGAGGATATGCGGACCGCAGAATTACGTGAGAACCACTTTATAGATTTCTCCATGCCCCTAATCGATCGGTTTATTTTAACAATATCAATTGCTGACTTCGACAGATTTAAAGACAATTGAATAATTGAACACAGGTTGTACTTCGAATAGAAGCTGCTTTAAACTGGCATGATAACGAATCAAGAGCGAGACTGCGCGGACCCAATGATTCTGGATCAATTGAGAACAAACCGCCTATACATTTTACCTGAGGCTTGACAAAACTTAATGATACACATTAGTACTTATTCTTTAATATGATAGGCTAAAAAGATA